ACAAAAAGGAAGATTGTGATTTTATAATGCCTAAAACAACCAGTGCTTCAACTTGGATTAAACCTTATAAAGAGCTGTCTATGGATATAAAAATCTACTGTTCAGTCTGTGGCAAAATTGTAAGTATCTAATATTTTCTATTAAATATCTAATATTTCATACATACAGGGTGTTTCCAAATGACACTAACAACGTTTGACTGTAGATACTTGTCGAAAAATTGAACAAAACGATATAGTTAATGAGGGGTCAAACTTATTTACTTTTCGAGATACAGGGTGTTAAAATTAAAAAAAATTAAATTCTTTTAGTTAATAACAACAATAACTTTAATACCAATAAACGTATTTACTTGAAATTTAGTACTCGTAGGTTGTTTTTAAATGAAAAATAGCTTCCTTTAGTGAGAAAAAATTGTCAATGGTACAATACAATGGTGTGTATTTTGAAAAATTTTTCACCTTTACTTTTTTTTATGAAGTCAGCTATTCTAAAACACAATTATTTTTATTGTAATTGAATTAACAAAAAAAAAAACTTTTGTTGAATTTTAAAATAAGTTATAGATGTACTAATGGTTAGTAACAAAAACTAATTTGTGGATTAATACTGCATTTAAAACACTTAGCGAGTGTTTTTTTTTCAAACCAGTTATTTGATTAACCAAAAACACCTTGTATATTTTTATATTTTAAAGGTTGGGTTAAAATAAAGGTTTTTTTTTTATTTATAGAAAGCATGTGAGAAAAAATTTCAGATAGACCAACATGTGAGAACTGCTTCACACATTGCAAAAAAAGGAAAAATAGGAGGAAAATATCAAACTTCAATGGCTAAATGTTTCCAATCTACTTCAAAAAAATTAGATGAGCAAGAAACTTTTAATGAAGACTTGTGTCGCGCATTAGTGTCTGCAAACATACCGCTTTCAAAATTAGCAAATGTAAATTTTAGTTCGTTTCTAAAAAAATATTGCAAACTTAATGTTCCAAGTGATCGGTCTCTAAGAAGAAATAATGTGAACGGCCTATACTCGTCGGTGTTAATTAATATTAAGGAAGAAATTGCAGATAATTATTTTTACATATCTGTAGACGAAACCACTGATTCCTCAGGAAAATATATTGCTCATTTATTGATTGGTGTTCTTAAAGAAGATATCTTACCAAAATCTCATCTTATTTCATGCCAGCAACTTAGAAAACAAATGCTTTAACAATAATCGCGTTTTATACAAGAAACATTAGCAACTTTTTTTCTTCCGACAACTATTCCTTCTAATAAATTACTGCTTATTTTATCGGATGCTGTTCCTTATATGGTGAAAGCAGGACAAAATTTAAAAATATTTTTCCCAGATTTAATACATGTTACTTGTGTAGCGCATGGATTAAACAGAGTTGCAGAGGAAATACGAAAAAAGTTTCCTCTTGTAAATACCATGATATCCAGTGTCAAAAAAGTATTTCTTAAATCTCCTATAAGAATTCAACTTTATAAAGAAATGCTACCTAACATTCCTCTTCCACCACAACCTATTTTAACGCGATGGGGAACATGGTTAGAAGCAGCTAATTTTTATGCAGATCATTTTGTTAAAATAAAGAACATAATTGATACGTTAACAGATGAAAGTTCCCAATCTCTTTTGGATTCTAAACAAACTTTTCAGAGTAACTGGCTTCAACAAGAACTTTCATTTATAAAATCAAATTTTAGTTTTGTTCAAAAAACAATTACTCAGTTAGAATCACCAAAACTGTCATTGTTCGAAAGTACAGCATTAATAAAAGAATTTGCGTCATGTTGTCGGAACGTTAGAGGTAATATTGGAAAAGATATTTTAAAAAAATTTGAAGCTACTATGGAAAAAAATAAAGGTTACCATATTCTTTCTGAAGTAGTCAGTGTTCTAGCTGAAAATATTTCGGAAACAATTAATTTAGAACCAAATGTTTTGGTTAGTTTGAAAAATGCTCCCGTTACATCAGTTGATGTTGAACGAAGTTTTTCCATATATAAATATATGTACTCAGACAGAAGCCACAAGTTTTTGTTAGAAAATTTTGAACACCACTTGATCATTTATTGTTACCATAATTCTAAATAAGTTTATTCATACTTAAAAATGATGTAGTTACTTAAAATAAATGTAAATCTTAATGAATAGTAGGAAATATTTAGTTATGTACACTTTTTTTTTTAAATAAAATTGTTACTATTTTACGATTTTTTTATTTATTTGTATGCATATTTTGTAAAATATTTGCATATTTTTGGGTAAACATGTGCATATTTATGCGCATATTTTCTACATTTTTATTTGCATATTTGCCGAAGTCTAATTTATTACATATATTTGGGTATCACAAGGTTTTCTTATGCAATTTACAATTTATTTCAATTTTTTAATTTTATTATCTTTTATTTTGTGCTATTGACGATTTATGTATTTTCAGTAAATTTTAAATTGTTATTAATATTTTTCTGACTTTGTATAAGCTTTGTCCATAAAATTGTACAATTTTCAGTGATAGTAAAGCATATTTCTATTCGATTCTATTTTCTCAAACAAAGTTTAATTCTTACAAAATTTTCCACAATTGATTTGTAATGACTAGCAATATTTCTTCACTATTAATGTCTGTCCAAAGTAGGTTTTTAATTTTGAAAATGATTCCACTTTTCTTAGAATTGTTTGCTTTTTACAACATTGTCAATTCGCTGCGGTTTTCTGTTTGTTGACATTTTCTTTCATTAAAATAAAATAAATGTACAATCCTGCAACCACAATTACGATGCCGAAGCAATTATTTATCGACATAACTTTTGATGATCATTTAGCTGCTTTGTTAGCTAGAGGTCATTCTAAACTAAACCTATTGTATTTTTAAATACAAACATTTTTTACCAAACTAAATAACTTTTTTGATTACTGCTTTTTTAAATTGTTGAAACTTAAACTGTTAACAATAATTATACCCAATGTATAATCATAATATTAATAAAAATTTTATAGAATATTATTTAAATTTTTGCTACAGGCTGCACAAAAAGTAATTTTATTAGGTAATGCAGTGGAACCTGCTTAATTCAAACTTCTCTAATTCGAAATCTTCTTAAATTCGAATTTTTATTCTGGTCCCTAGCATTTCCTATATAAGTAATGGTAAAAAGTCGTGAATAATTCGAATTATGTTTTGGATAATTCGAACTTTTCTACAACCTAAAATGCGAATTTCATGCTGGAAAAGCCGCGAAAAGAGGTATTAGTATTCTTTCCTGTTCTCAGGCTCCACTTGTTTTAAGACATTCAAGACCAACTCGTACCGCAGTCACGTCAGCATGTCATTGCGTCTTGAGCGAAGATATCGTTGCTTGGTAAACTTCGAACATACAAGACTTTGATGTTATCGGAAAAATATCGGCAGTTAAAGAAGTAGAAAAAGGACAAAGAAATAATCTAAGATTCCTAGGAATTTGGAATTTCTCCTAACATATGATAATTCACACCTACTTTTTCAAATGGGTGGACATATCTACTTGAAGAATAAAGAAAAAAATCTCCAGTTGTTAAGGGAGCCAGAAAACCCAAATGTGTTTTAAAATGGTTCGAACAAGCCAGGGATAAGGAGCCAGGGATAAGGAGATAAGGAGATGAGTGGTCCCCTTATAAGAAGCAAATCTGAACAATTTGTTATGGAAATGGGGGAAAACAAGTTTAATTCGAGTACAGGGTGGCTAGACGGCTTCAAAGAACGCAACAAAATGTCATTCAAATCTATTTGAGGAGAAAGTGCGGCCGTTAATCAGCAAGAAGCCAACGAATGAAAAAAAAGTGGAAGGAGATGATTCAGGATATAGATGAATGAAATATCTTCAATGTTGACGAGACGGGTCTTTTTTTTTAAATGCACTCCTGTCAAAACACTGGCATTTAAAAATTAAAAATATCACGGAGGAAAACTAAGCAAAGAAAAAGTCACTCTCCTAATTGGTGCAAACATGGACGGATTAGAAATGCTGCCTCTACTGATAATTGGCAAGTCGAATAATCCGGGTTGTTTTAAGAACGTCAAGTCAAAACCAGTGGAATATGAGAGCAGCGCAAGAGCTTGGATGGCTAGGGATCTTTTCGAGAAATAACTAATGAAATTAGACAAAAAGTTCATAAAAGAAAAAACAAAAGTTAGTTTGTTTATTGACAACTGTTCGACCGGCTTACAACACTATGCCACTAATAAAAAAAGTAAAATTTTCCTGCCAACATGACTTCAGTTCTCCAGCCTATGGACCAGGGCATCAAAAAAAATCCTTTAACAGACGTTTTTTGGTTGAAAACATATTGACGGAAGATTGCAACTCCCTTGAAAAAAGTTAGACCTTCTTTAAGCCTGTCGAATGTGTAAGAAAGCTTGGGAGAAAGTAACACCTGAAACGATTAAACATTGTTTAAAAAAGCTTGTTTCTAAAAAAATGAGTAGAACACAGAAAATGCTAACGACACTTTAACAGAAGAGCTGCTTTCAGTCAACGGCTGCGAGGATGTTATTTCTGATCCTGCCGTCTCTTATAAAGATTTTGCCAACATGGATAAAGATGTTGCAGTGCAGTTGAAAGTAAAAATGACTTACGTCACTTTATAGTTAGTTCACCATAGAATACCTAAAAATCGTTTAAATTAAATTTTGTTAGCCCATTTTTTTCGGTTGACAAAATTCGGGCAAGAATAGGAACGAAAACATCTGCAAAAGATAAAAATGGGTCGACTATTGTTAATTTTTATCGTTTGTAGATGTTTTTGTTGGTATCACTGTTTTTTTAGATATATTTTTAATTCGAATTTTTGAATAATTTTTTTAACGGTCCTGAAGCTCGAATTATCCAAGTTTCACTGTATCTGGATTTCTGAGTTTTCTATGGGACCAACGGCTGTTTTTTCTATGTGTTACCAGTTTTTGAACTGATAAATTGAGTTAACTAGTATTTCCTCTTTTCAGGATACAAGATGCAGGGAGATTACGATGACGAATCGTCCTCTTCGGGGGGCGAGCTGACCCCCACAAGAAAAAACAACACAAACCACCATCAGATAGTTCAGAGCAATCCATCGATCTTATCATCCCTGAGAAGTGTTCTGATTGTCCTGAGTACGGCTCTAGTGTGCTTCGCAGCCGCTAGAAACTCTATCACATGGTAAATAATTATTCATCTTTTTTTACCGTTCATCGATCAATACTGTTTTCAAATTACATTATTCTGAAATTATTTCAGGCATTGTCAGAGATTCTGGGGCGCTTCTGGAGACTTCTGGCAGGCGCAATGGGACAAGTTTCTCGATTTGGTAGGTGAAGATCCCTTTAATTTGTGGATATTTGGCTCAATGGCTATCACGTTCGGTGTCTACTGGATATTTGGAGGCATATACACTTTCATGGATGTTACGAATATGCCTGGAGTGATAAGAAAATATAAAATTCAACCTGGTACGAATGAACCAGTTGATGACAAGAGGTTGAGGCATGTAAGTTATTTTTTTTTGATCGTATTTAATAACGTCTAGTTAAAGTAAAACTAATTTCTAACTCTGGATTTTCTTCATCATCTTCTATTTTAAGATACTCTGTCTTTGACATATTCATACTGAGACACCATTTTTCATATTCTTTCTTTAGGTTTCTAAACATGTAGTCCATGTCTTCCTCATCATTCGCTACGACTACCTGATCATCTGCGAAAAATAAAGTTGTTTTCCGTTACCCATTCCGAATACTTATTTCTTCCACTGCTCTAGCGATGATTGAATATATATTTTAAATGAGGTCGGAGATAGACAACATCCTTTTTTAAAACCCTTTGTTATTGGAAATGATTCAGATATAAAGTTTCCTTCTTTAACGACACTTCTTGCATTTTTGTATATATTTGCGATAGCATCCACATACTCTCTACTGAGACCTACTTTCGTCAATGTTTGAAACTGTTTTTTCAAAGGTACCGTATCGTATGCCTTCTCTAAATCTACAAACAATAGGTGGATAGATAGATTCTTTGCCTTCCGTTTTTCGATTACCTGCTGCAGAACATTGTTATTTGTGTCAATTCAGCTACGATAAATTGAGTTTTAAAATAAAATTAAGTTTAGTTTTAAACGAACTCTATTAAATATTATTAAGAGGCGTAAACTAGAATATCTTAGACATATAATCAGAGGACCAAGATATGAGTTCTTTCGGCTAATTCTCAACGGTAAAATCGAAGGAAAGAAATGGATAGGACGGAAGAAACTCTCTTGGTTGAGGAATTTGCGGCAGTGGACAGGTTTGACAGCGGACCAATTGCTACAAGTAGCCCAAGACCGAGATCAGTATAATAATATTATAAGCATGGTAGTCGCCGACGTTCCGTAGGGATATGGCACTTTAAGAAGAAGAAAGTTTAGTTTAATGTAGTGTACTCTTTAGTTTATCTTCACTTTTTATCTTTAATCTAATTTAATTAAAAACTATTAATTCTTATATCATTTTAATGCATTTTATTAAATATATGCATTTTTTTATATGCATCTTTATGTAGGTAATGTGAAAGTATGAAATAACTGACGATATGGCAACACTGACATCATTTAAACTTGCATCAAAATCGTCAAATGCGTCAAATATCAAATATATTATGTTTGGTTATGTTCATTGCATTAAACTAATCATTGCCCTACTTTTAATAACAAAAACCCTCTAAATTCACCAGAGTTTCTGATTTCCTATTAGAAATGAAATTATTCGAATATAAGTAACTGCCACTGTGATTCGTCCCTATCAAAACCAGTTTCATAAATCGACAAGACCCAAAAGCTAAATAAATGTGAGACAACTTTTTCATTCGCCTTATCAGTCAAGCTTGTTTAAAGTTCATATATTTTTATTGGTAAAGCAATAATTTTGGGTAGGACTGTAACTGCTAATGTGATTCGGCCCCATCAAAACCAGTTTTATAAATCGACAACACGCAAAACCCTAAATAAATTTGGGACAGGTTTTTCATTCGCCTTATCAGTCAAACTAGTTAAAAGTTCTTATGTTTTATTGGTAAATTAATAGTTTTGGGTATGATTGTTTGTTACTGGTCAGAGAACTAACGAATAGCTGCTGAATGTATTGTTTTTTGCAGGTGTATGAGTAAAACTGAAATATGATTTGATAAAATGATAAACCAATAAAAAGGGACGTGCTTTTAAGAGGTGTTTACTTATGGAAAATGGGTAGAAACAATTTTATTACTTAAGATGAAGTGCTACAAACTCTGTAACTTTGATTTTTTTTTATGAAAAACGTCATATCACGATGATGAAAACATCATTCAGCATCGCAATAAAAAGTTTTAAAAAAATATTTAAAAAGTTTTCAGGAAGACCAGTTTTCTGTAGCGCCCAAATTTTACCAGCTGTCACATTGGATCTTTTTATATATTTTTTACTACTATATCTAAGGACTCAAAATTTCATTAAATTCCACTGAAGGAGAAAAATTTTTAATTATCAGAAATTAATTTTCTCCATCAAAGAGTCTTCTTCTTTGTCCATACCATGACATTCGCAATCCTCAGCGTCAACATTCAGGTGTTTATGGCGTCCTTGGGTGTCAAATATCTTCTACTACCAAGATAAACTGGAATCTTCGCCCCATTCTGGGCCAAAATGCTTTTCCAAGTAGATTTTTTACATGGTTCAGCTTTTCTGATTTCAGTACGACACCAATAGGAGCACTTTTTAAATATTTTTTCCCCTTTTTTTATTTAGTCCTTTTTCGCCCAAATCTGTGTTGTAGGCTACTTCACCTTCCACAACTACATTATTCTTAGTGGTTTTGCAAAGCAAGAAGAGCTTTAAAGATTTAAGTTTGAAATAAAGCTGTCCTACATTTTTTAGGTAGGATTTTGCCATTTCTCTCCAGTTTTGGGATACCCATCTTTCCCCAAGCTTTTTCACTTTAAGATACTTTTTAAATACGTCGTGATATTCTTTCACTGTTGGCGTTGTCTTCTTTACCTTCTAACTCGTTCTATCATCCGAAAAAGGGGTCCGCTAGCATATATGAATGACCTATCATAGAAAACACCAACTCAATTTTTTTTACTGATTTGGAGTGATGCAGTCACCAGCAACACATGGTGATTATGTTTATATTTTTATTTTGTCCAGGACAACCATCTGCAATTAACCTTACTTCGTTAAAGCTTGAACCTGATTCTTCAACGCCTGCTGATTAGTTCAGTGCACAAAATTGAGGCAACTTCATTTGATGACTTTTGTCCATGTGTAAACAAAAACATTTTGAGAATTCAGCTTTGAACGAGAAGTACCACAAATAACGGACATATTATACCAACATAGTTAGCGACTATAGTATGCAGCAAGAAGAGCAGGAAGGTTTTATATGCAGTTTCATGCAAGGGACATACTATTCCCTTTAGCCACTCTTCTAATACCAATTCATTTTGTACATTTCATACATTCATATAAGTACTATTAGTTTATGGATTGGATGGATATGTTTTTGCTCTCTTCTAAGACGTCTATTCTCTTCTTTTTTTCTTCGTGTACAATCTGCGTCGATGGTTTTTTGATATGCTGCGTTCTCTCTATGTGTGGCCATTTCACACTCATGATCAAACCAATGATTTCTTTTTCTGATTTGATTTTGTCTAATATTTCAAGCGATTTCTGTATATCATCACCTCACTCACTTTTATGAGGTCTTACTTGTCAAATAGAATGCAGTTTGTTGCTTATAATGGTTACAAATCGGAAAAGTACCTAGCTTCTTCAGGGGTTCCACAAGGTTCTAATCTAGGTCCATTATTGTTCTTGTTATTTATTAACGATCTGTGTGAATCAATTTCTGCACCATGTTTATGTTATGCCGATGATTTAAAGATTTATTCATTGACAAGCGACCTTAATGATTGTCATTTTCTGCAGAGTGAACTGAATCGTGTACATGAATGGTGTAATGCAAATCATTTGAATCTTAATGCCAATAAGTGCAAATTAGTTAGTTATTCTAGGAAACAGTCTAATATATACCATCCTTATATTATCGATGACAATGAACTTGAACGTTTAAATAAAATTAAAGACCTTGGAGTTACATTTGATTATAAACTCACCTTTGTTGAACATGTTAATTTAAAGGTTAAAGAAGCACTTAAATCTTATGGATTTATAATTAGAAATAGTCGAAATCTCACTAATACTAAGGCAATTAAATTACTTTATTACACTTTTGTACGCTGTAAACTGGAATATGCTTCTGTCATTTGGTCACCTTTTTATGATGTACACATCCAAATAATAGAGCACGTGCAGCGTAAATTTTTAAAATTTTTGTCTTTCAAAATTAACGGCATATATTCCAGGAGGGGCATCAGCAATAGCGGGTTGTGCAGCGGTTTGGACGTAGTATCATTAGAATCTAGACGAATTAATGCCTCCCTAATATCCCTGTACCAGCTACTACATAATCTCATTGACTGCCCTGATATTCTTCGACAAATAAATTTTAACGTTCCATCTTATCCAGTGAGAAATTCGATTACGTTCAGAAATACACAAGCTAGAACTAATCTTATGTTAAATTCTCCTCTATTTCTCATGTGCAACTATTATAATTCCTTAAGTGCTTACTGCGATATATTTCACTGCAGTTTAAAGCAGCTTACTAGGATGGCTGAGATCTACCTAGGTGATTAAGTAGTTTCTTTATGTTAAGGTAAAATACTCGAAAATGTGTTATTTAGTTAGTACCTATGAATTATTTATATTTCATTTAACTTTAGTATTGTAGTTTGTCCTATAAATGGTTTCTGTTGGACAATAAACGCTATTATTATTATTATCCAGATTTAGCCATACGGCTCACACTCCCTCTAAGGGGAAAATTCACTCATCCCAGATACCTACGGTATCAAAAGGATTGAGCTGTGGTGGGACTCTTTCCGTGTTATCGAGCCCTAGGTGACTTGGTATGCTGGAGTATCTCCAAAAATTTTCGTACACATCGGGATGTTGAGAGTAGTACAGCTTTTTGCATGGTCTTGTAGAGATGTTCATTCAGACCTAGCTTTTTTATATTTTCTAGGAGGTTCTTTGGAATGACTCCAGTAGTAGAGAGAATAATAGGTATTGTCTGGGTACTTTCCATTTTCCACTGTCTTCGTATTTGAATTTCCAAATCCCTGTACTTGGCAATTTTTTCGTTCTGTTTAACACGAAGATTATTGTTGTTGGGTATCGCCACATCAATTAATGTTGTTTGTCTCTTTAGTTTATTGACTAGTATGAGATCTGGTCTATTATGTGCCACTGTTTGGTCTGTGAGCACCGTGCGATCCCAGTATAGCTTGTAGTTGTCATTCTCAAGTATACTCTCAGGAACATATTGATAATATGGAAGATGGTTTGTTTGAAGAAGTCCCAGTTTGATAGCTATCTCTTGATGAAGGATTTTTCCTACTGAGTCGTGCCGTTCCTTATATTCAGTTGCAGCAAATGCCTGACAGCCCCGGTAAGATGTTGAATGGTTTCCTGAGCTTGGCACCCATATCGGCATTTGTCATTTTGGACCTGAGGGTCTTTGACGATATATTTCAGGTAATTTTTGGTTGGTATAACCTGATCCTGAATGGCCAGTAGTGAACCTTCTGTTTCGGGGAACATCCTTCCTGATGTCAGCCAATAGTTCGACGCTATACTGTCGACATGTTCTTGACTGACCTCATTGGGATGTCGCCCGTGCAGAGGCTTGCCCATCCAGGTGCGCATTTTTTCGTTCTTAGTAAGGTGGTTTATGCGCATTTCTGGTTCCCTCAGTTTGATCGGTGTTGTGTCATCTACTGCACAAATTGCGCGATGAAGAGTAGATGTCTCCGCTGCACCTGAAAATAAGTCCTCGACCTCCTAAATACCGCGGTAATGTCGTTCTTTCTACTGCACTTCGAGGATGATGTTTTTGTGCCTTTGTGAGGTGCGTTCGTACTTTTCGCTGAAGATTTTCTATATCCGTTCTTGTCCACTTAACAATACCAAATGAGTAGCTAAGTGCGGAACATGCGTAGGTGTTTAGTGCCTTAAACAAATTTTTACTGTTAAGGTGTGAACGAAGCAGCTGTTTTACCCTTCGTATAAACTCAGTTGTTATCTCAGTTTTCATTTGCTTATGGTCAATCTTCCGCGCTTGCTTTATTCCGAGGTATTTATACATATCATTTTCACCCATGGCCTCGATGTTCTGGCCGTTTTGCATATCGAATCCGCCGGGCTGAACCTTTCCTTTGATTATATTTAAGATACGGCACTTGTCAAGACCGAAGTGCATACTAATATCATTTGAGAAATTTTCAACAGTTTTTAGCATCTGGTCTAGGTGGTTTCGAGTGGAAGCCATTAATTTCAAATCATCCATATACAACAGATGATTAAGCTTCGCCACAACAGTGTTGTTATTTTTGATACTAAAACCTGAGTCGGTGGAGTTCAGTAGCTGAGATAGTGGGTTCATCGCTAAACAGAACCAAAGAGGACTCAAAGAGTCCCCCTGGAAAAGGCCCCGGTTAATTGGGATATCTTCAGTTTCGATGTTTTTTTCACCAGGTATTTGAAGGTGAATTTTAGTCTTCCACTCCGTCATTATATGCTTTAAAAAGGTCACTATATTAACATCGACTTTATATATTTTCAATATATCTATCAGCCATTGATGCGGTACTGAATCAAAGGCCTTCTTGTAGTCGATGAAGGCGGTAAAAAGGTTCCTTTTTTTGCTGTACGCCTGGTTGGAAATGACTGAGTCGATTATAAGTTGTTCTTTGCAGCCCATGGAACCCTTAGCGCATCCTTTCTGTTGAGGCTCTATGATATTGTTTAGAGAACAGTGTTGGTAGATACGCTGGGTTACACAGGATGTGACCAATTTGTACAAAGTTGGAAGACAAGTAATTGGGCGGTACTTGGCTGGATCTTGGGTGTTATTTTGATCCTTTGGTATTAGATAAGTGGTTCCTTGAGTAAGAAATGATGGTATTTCCTGCGGATTAAAAATAACATGATTAATTAATACTGATAAATGCTCGTGTATACTCCAAAACTTCTTTAGCCAGAAGTTTTGAACTCCGTCTGGCCCAGGAGATTTCCAGTTATGAAGCTCTTTGATAATGTTCGAGACTTCTTCAGTGGTGAAAGGTTCATAGGGAACATTAGTGTAGTGTTGACAGTTGTTCGTCGTTTCTTCAATCCATCCAGCATTGTTGTTATGAGTAGCTGGTGTCGAAAGTTGGTTTCCCCAAAACTCATGAATTTCTTCTTGGCTTGGGTAGGATTTATTTATTATTTATTATTATTATTATTTATTTATTTATTATTATTATTATTATTATTATTATTATATCACAATATCTCGTATATATGCCCATATTATATATCATATTTTATGCTGAAAAACTTATTCGCAGAGGAAAATTTTAGCGACGCTATTAGCAACAATTTATCTGAGAAATAATTGTTTAAATTATCTTTACCGAGCTACATATTACAATAATGGTCGAATTTAAATAGCAACAAAACGTGAATTTTAAGTTAAATGTATACTAAACCTACAAAAATATTATTTATCGAACGGTGGAAATTTTTTTAAGTGACAGCTGATAGCACATTTATAGAATTATCTAAACAATGAATTTTATCGAATAATAACATGGCAATGCAGTTTTCTATGATAATTTTTGTTCCAGATGTATAAGTATAACGCGTATAATTGTAAGTGATAATAATTCAAGAATGGTTCCGGCAATTCATAGAAAAAACAAGACCATCACAAAGTGATCCAATATTGCTAGTTTTAGATGGGCACCATTCGCATCGTTGCAACTTACAAGTTATCGATTTAGCAAGACAAAATTTTGTGGAGATATTGTTCCTGCCCCCACACTCTACCCATTATATGTAGCCGTTGGATAAAACTTTCATAGGGCCTTTAAAATCTCACTATAGTGAGGAGAATTAAGAGTATTTCTTCGAATCAATCAGAGGGCTGTCACACCTTTCGACATCTCTGAATTATTTGGTAGGGCTTATTTGAAAGTACAAACTGGGGCAATAGCCGTTAATGGCTTCAGGAAAACCGGCATATATCCCACAAATCGCAATGTTTTCAAACACCACGATTTCCTTGCTGCTGAAGAGGCATTGCAATCTAACACTCCATTAAACGGAATTTATGATGAAAATGGGACTACTGACCAATCAAAAAGGAATACGTTTATCGAGCCTCATCAAATATCACCTTTGCCGACATTAAGTAAGAAAAAAGGACATCCAAGAGGAAGAGCACCAGGAAAAGCTGCAGTTATAACCTTATCCCCATACAAAGAAAACCTAAATAATTCAATAAATTTTCCTTTATCGAACAAATCAAAGAATATGGCAAAGCGAAATGTGCTATTTGATCTATCCCATTCACAACCATCTTGTAGTGGTGTCAATATTCCCAAATCAACGATAAAACGATCACATCGTAAAGAGTCCTCTTCATCGGAGTCTGACGTCGAGAGTTTAGATGACAAATCATCTGAAGATAACATCACAGAAATAGGGATAACATATTTAGGAGATCCAGATACAGTGTGCTTTTATTGCGATGGAAGTTTTTTAAATGATGTTCGAGGCGAAAATTGGATACGCTCTCTGTCCTGTCAGCAGTGGTGCCATGTTGATTGCGCAGGGGCAGAAATGGAAACATTCATATGTGATTTCTGCAAAGAAAATTAAAAAACTGCAAGGTACCTTTCTCTTAAAGATTTAAAATTATTTATAAGAATGTGAAAAAAGTTTGAGTTGTCAATAAATATTTTTCCTATAATTTTGTTTTATTCCATATTTAGAACATACAGTGTTTCATATTAGGTGCATATTCCGTATTAGGTACAAAAACGTGTCAATGCAGTAAAAGTTTTTTTGTGAAAAACTTATCGAATTGATTGAATCCTCAGATAATAATTCCGATGAACAAAATTATGATCCAATTTAGCTTAAAGAATTAGATTCATTTGATCGAAAACCACTTATTAACAGCAAAAAATAAAAATGGTATTCCATATTTGGCTCCTTTCCTCTATATATATTTAGTAAAACACTATTAATTTGTTGTTGTAGGTTATATATTCCGTCTTGTTTAACCAATCTGTTGTTGGTATACCGATATCATTTTTGATGTACTGGGCAATGAAATGGAGAGGATATCCACCTCTACGCGAATTACCCACATTTCACTGGGTATTGTTTGAATTGGCAGTACACATCTTAACGGAAGAAGTCGGATTTTATTATTCCCATAGGTAAGTACGACATTGTATTTTTCTCCTTGATTTTATCACTAGTATATTATAAAAAATTGGCATATTACTCGTCATTGTATCAACTGAATTGAAAATTTGTTACACTTCGTGCATAAAATAACGTGCTCAGTTCGGATAAGACTGAGCTAGTTAAGGCAAACATAAAAAATAGACCAAATAAATACCGTAGGAGAGGTGGTAAAATTACACAACTAGTTGATTAAGGGTTAAGTTTATATCGAAAGAATATAGACGCATATGCGTCTATATTCTTTAGTTATATTATAAGCTTGAAAAAAGATAGAAACTCAAAATGTCTCAATACCGTTCTATATTCACTTAAGAACTCAGTGAGACTCAACTTGAATGGCTTGAATATTCACAATTCACAAAGAGATTAACTATGCTTGTGTACTAACTGTAATATTTTTTTCTTTTAGATTACTTCACAGCAAATATCTTTACAAGTATATCCACAAGCAACACCACGAATGGACAGCACCTATTGCAGTTACAGCCATCTATTGCCACCCAATTGAACACATATTCTCCAACCTTATCCGCCCTTCTTAGGAGTTTTCCTGATGGGATCGCATGTAGCTACAGCTTGGTTGTGGTTCACGTTGGCCATACTCTCTACTTTAAATGCTCATTCTGGGTACCATTTGCCATTTTTCCCATCGCCCGAGGCACATGATTTCCACCATTTGAAGTAAGTTGTTTTTGTATTAAAAATTGTGTATAAATTAAAATATGAAAATATAAATATGTTTTTCCAAAACCTAAACCGAGAAAAAATTGGTAGAAAGCAGGCCTCTTGGTTGAAAAATATCAGGGAGTGGACAGGAATAAAGAAAGCTGAGCAACTATTTAGAATAGCTCGGGACAGAGACAGTTTCGCCATGTTAATCGCCAACGTCAAGGGGACTTGATAGGGCACGTTAAGAAGAAGAAACCGAGAAAAGTTCTCACCAGATGTTACTTAACAAATAAGGTTTAAATTTACTCCAGTTATTAACTTTGTCGCTGCACTACAAGGAACCACTCATGGTTCCACAATGTAGGTATCAATTCAAATATCATCGACCATCAATGTCTTCGTTAGTCTCAAATCTCATCTCTGCACTATGTTTTCACTCTAAGTAGGCTGTTGGCATAAGAGTAACACAAAATATCGCTGTAATTGTATATATAGGACAATAATATGAATAAAAAGAACAAAAACTGTATATGGGAAGGCGGAATAGTGGCCGACTAAGCCTTTGGTTTATTTATTCTAATACATAGCTTTAAAAATTATACTGTTAAAGTAAAAAAACTTCAAACCTTAGTACTTTAAACTCTATTTACGAAAAATTTTTAAACAGAACAAAAAAATCCGTAAAATAGTTTCGAAACACAATTCAGATTTCTGCTTATAATCTGAGCCTTTTAAAATTGCAAGGCAAACAGACGTTGATAAAAGATGTTAAAAGGGACATGGGGAATCTAAAATTTGCATGCCACGACATATCTTTTACAACTAAGCCACAGACCACTAATAACTAGACGTTTCACGTAGGTAGCTCAAGGTCAAATTAAACTTAATGTCATTTGTAGTACCGATACTAATCTTCAGATGTCGCTTTACTCTGTCTCTACTTTTACTCTGCAGTTTAGGTTTAGAACACAACTAAGAAAAGAATTATAATGATTATAATTGTCAATCGCCAATTGTCATATTAGCGTCTATATTTCGATTTTGTTAGTGTTAGTCAGTGTTAGTTTGTAAATTACAAAACAAATCACCTACCTCAGTGATCTACGTTTTAAATGTTCTGGCGGTGTTCAAATAGTATTTTGCAGATTAATAATAATCAGTTAAATATGGTTTTTCACAATAAATGTTGTATCCTACAATGTACTAATTCGTCATTAATTAGACATACCTTTCCAAATCCACGATGAAGACATTACTATTACACGATTTAGGAAGTGGCTTAGTGTTATAAATAATCCTAATTTAGATGATGAATGCTAGTACAGTTTATAAAACAAAACGAATCTGCCACAGACACTTTGAAGATAAGTTTGTTTCTTCATGGAGTCATAAATTGTATAAAAATGCAATTCCTAGCTTACATTTGTTATGGTGAGTCAATAAATATTTGATATTAGAGAACAAATAACTGATTGATGAACTTAAATCTGCAACTTCTTTCCTTGAGTTCCGTAAAAGAACAAAATCCTATCTATCTGAAAGATCATATTATTCAGTAGAAGAGTTTCTTAACGAATAGTGTTATGTACAAGTAACTAAACAATTTGTATAAATATATATTTGAGTATCACATGCAGAAACTTGTATTAAAATGTATTAGTTCGTAAGGATTTATTATGCAATTTATTTAAATTTTGCAATACATTGTGTATTTTATTATTTTTTATTTTGTGATATTGACGATTTATGTAATTTCAGTAAATTTTAAATTGCTATTTTTCTGACTTTTTTGTAAGCTTTTTCCATAAAATTGTACAATTTTCAGTGATAATAGCATATTTTTATTCTATATTAAATTACAAAGTTGTTTTACCAGTATTAAATAAATAAATAAATTACATTTTGTTTTATTTTTCCTAAATTGTATTGTGTATATTTGAAATTAAAAATGTCATGCATTTTTTTTTTCAAATATACAAATTATATTTAAAAATTTTAAACTTTATTTAAATTTTCCCACCAAAATTAAAATTTGAATTTCCGCGTAATTTCTCGCTTGAATTAGTTCCGATACTAATCTTATGGAGCGCTGAATTTCATATCCAACTAAAGTATTGTCGTGGAACATCTAGGGAGGTAGGTGATCTGTGAACTAAGCAGAAATCTTTAGTGAATTGTGCTTCTAGTACTCACACAGAGTATATCCGAAATAAAATGAAAAAGACAGCAAATATTCGATTTCACGCAAACAACTCCTATGTATCTGTTGATACGTATTTCGACCTAATAGGTCTCATCAGAATATCTACTAGCCATTGCTTTAAAATACACTTAAATTTACAGTTTAAAATATAACATAACCTCAATCACATTGTCAGAAATTCACCAAAACAGAGTTGATTTAGAGACAGAAATCTTTTTCAGCTGTGCCAACACTTCACTAAAAAAGTGTACCAACGTAAAAAATCGTAATATCGTAGAAAAAATTAGCCGTATTCTAGCCATCGTGAGATGATCTCGCAAAATTACCTACTTAATAGTAAAAAGTCGACAAACAACTGTCAAACTCACGTTAATCTTGAAAAGTTAATAACATAAAGATATTTTCTTATGTTTCAGATTTAATAACTGTTTTGGCGTCTTGGGCGTCCTGGATAGACTTCACGGCACCGATAGCAGCTTCCGTCAATCTAGAGCTTACATCCGACACATCATGATGCTGAGCTTCATACCGCCCAGAGAAGCATTCCCTGAGGCGGACACCTGCAAACATAAGCTAGGGAAACAACGTGTATAAACCTACATTAGGCTAGTTTTCAAAGGGTAGGTTTTTCACTTTTTGGAATTAAATAATTTAACATATAGAATATAGTATTAGAAGTTGTTACCTTGGTGCTAAAATGTGAGTATGGCAGGTGATTTAATATAGTCTAGTATTTAAATAAAACAATTGTTTATAAGATATTATTTTTATGTATGAGAGATAAAATTTATTAGTATAGAAAATATTTTTATATTTTGTTAAAGGCGTTAGAAATTTTACATAAATTACCATATCTACAGCTCGCCGATTATAGCGTGACATTTGGCGAACGTAATAGCGTCTATACCAAATGAAGATACATTTTTTTCTGATATTTTATATCAAAATATGTGTTTGTTCTTTTGGCAATCTTAACATTTCTTTCTCACGCGCATATTGCAGTAATTTTAAGCGTTCTAGAGCTTGTAAATCACTAGAGCTTGTGGATTTTCTAAACGGCTATAGGGGAGAAGAGGGACACTTGATCCTACCGTTACATTTTTTCAGATAACTTTTGTTATAACCGATCTAGAACCTAGAAAATTTAGTGGAATATTACAGATTTACCAAAGTTTTGGGTGTTATACACCCGAAAAATATACTGCTAATAAATAACGAGTTTTTGTAATATCTAATAATAGAGAAAAACTAATCATGTCTCTCCGTACTTCGGGAGACTTGATCCTTATGTATGGGTGACTTGATTATACCTTTCCAGATTTACGATATTAAAATAAAACCAAAAATTGGATGCTGAAAACTAACTTTACTCAGTCATGACATAACAAATAATATTATTAAAAATAGAAACACTTTCTGGCAGAAAATTATATTCAAAAAGTTATAAAAGTGAAAAAAAAATATTATTGAATATTGAACATTCTCAGTGATTTGGGAAAGACAAAACATCCTATGCGTTTACTGTGTAGCTCCTAAAAGTCATGCTTGGTAACTTTTTTAAAATTTGGTCACGTGCGACTTCATCCATGTCTTCTTTTTCTGGCCACTTAAAGGTTTTGTCATCTCTCTTTTGGGCAAATTTTATGGTGTTAAATAAAATTATACTAAACACTCACCTAAACAAATAGTAAAGAAAATCAACTTGAAATAGTTCTGAAAACACTTCTCTCTCTTCTCCCCTAACCTTGAAAACTCCAAGATTATTAAAATTTATACAGTAGAAGCGTAAATTTGTACTTTGCGCATGCATAAGTCATAGCCGTTTAGATAATCCTCTACCTCTACCTAAATATTGTACTGCACTTCGTTGAAAAACAAACATAATGACGTCACAATCGCTGAGCTGTATATACCACTAACGGCATCTATCTTTGTTGCTCCAAATTACAAAAATTTTAAAATATCTATAATACAGACTTATCAACAATCAACAATTATAAACAAAATAAAGTGACAACTGAAACTACTTACCTATTAAGGATTAATTACTTAAAACGTATTTTTACGTGTAATATGTCGATTCGATATTTATTATAATAATTTATGTAAGTTTTTACCGCTTATGTACAGTATTAAATATCGTTTAAATTCTATTGTAGTTAGAATGTAGATCTTTTTGAAAAAACCTACCCTTCTAAATCGTAACTTTCACCGAAAGTGTAAGTTTTTCAAATATTTTTGGTGATTTTATATTAAATAATAAAGAACGTGTTGTTATTATTAAGAGATGTGTAACGATGGTTTGAGAATAAAATGAGACTGATCTAAAAAGTGACATATTGTTTTTTTTTACATACATATAAACTTACTATCTAAACTTTGTTTGATATTAAGAGAGTCATAAATCACTGTAAAGGTGTCGTTCCTTAGGCATACAGTTTATTTTTATTATATTAATTTTAGACCAATAAATTAATATGCACGATAACCAGTGGCAGCTGGTGAGGGAGGACTATGGGGTGCCGCTCTTCCTAGAAAAATTATGTAAAAACAATTATTTGTATTTTGTGTTCATTTTAGGATACTTTTTTGTTGAAACCTTTCCATTTCAGATACGTGAAAAAAACAAAAAAAATAACTCTGACACCGAAGTGAAAATGAGATCTTTTTATGAATGCCTCCAAATTATGTCGAAATAACAAGAATTTGCACTGGCAGAATACCTCGGAATGTGCTCAAAAATGAACTAGGGCCTAACAAGTCTTAGATGTCGCCGTTTAGCATACTAAATGGCCCAAAAAAATAATATTCTGATTCCGAATAATTGGTTAGAACATAGAGCTGCCGGTTTAGAATGGATGAGAGGATTTTAAAACGATCACTTAACTTGAGCATCAGACAACCAGAAGGATGTTGTCAAGTGTGTACCAACGCAATTCTACCCGAATTTGCGTATAAAATACACGGTTCGTATATTGCAAAATTAAACTTCAAAATTATTGAAAATCTATATTTGCCAGTTCCCAACAAAACATATCGCGTGCTTTTAAAAAAATGATGTAACAAAATTATCACTTATAAGCATCAATCTATACATACACAAAATTAAAATACTACGCCACGGATACCGACCGTTCAGCGCTCAGATTCTTAGTCAACTGTAAGAACCTCATCAATTTTTATTACACCACTTACGCGTTAAAATAAAGAAAATAAATTGAAGTGATGGCGATAAAATATAAAAATTATTGCCGACAAGTGGAAAGATTGTTATGATTTAAAAAGGTTTTATAGCTAAAGCTTTCTTTGAATTTTAATAAGAGATTTTTAACTTCAGCATTTAAAGCGGTATACAAACAAAATAATTATCAAATGGCTGTGACATCCTCCCACCTGAGGCATTTTACAAAAGTAAACATGGCTCACAATATTAATATTGGCACAAAAGTAAACAAAACTACAGCAAATAACATAAAACCATAACAGACAAAATTCGAAATATAATTAAGCAAAAACTAAATCTACTCGTTAGCGTATCGCACAGGAGTTTTGACGCTGCGCCCACTTCGCGTAACAATTTTTTTCGTTTCGGGTACTCTGCTTTCAGACACTCCCGTTTCCGCGTCGTTTTCGGAGGCACTCACTTCCGCGCCTTCACATAAACTTAAACGAGATCCTCTGTCTTCAGTCTCTCCCGTGTTGTCCGTTCGGTCATTGCCTAGCGTCTGAGAAAAATCTGCTGGGCACTCCATGGGGTAGATACGCTGAATTGGTCTTAAAAATTGACCTCTTTCTGTAGAAATCCTAACAAGCCGAATTTGACCATCTCTACCGGGAATAGTATCAGTTACACGACCAAGAGGCCAATTAACACGCTTGTCCTGGTCGTTTCCTACGAATACTACATCTCCTACTTTGACTTGGTGTTTAAAATTCTTTTTCGACCATAATTTTAACTGACCTAGATATTCATTCCGAAATCTTCGTCGAAGATCTTCTAACAATCTTTGCCTGTGCAGAATTTTTCTGGATAGAGACCTACCATCAACTGCATCACAATCGGGGACACCGTCTTCTATCTGATCTCTAAGGAACATCTGTGGTGTTAAAGGTACCATCTCCGTGGTATCTGATGTGGGACAGGTAAGTGGTCGAGAATTTATGATGGATTCACAATCACATAAGACAGTCAATAGGCTTTCATAATCCAGTGAAGCACGTCCCAATACTTTACGCAACAGTTGCTTCAACATGCCCACGAGCCTTTCCCAAAAACCACCCCACCACGCAGCTGTCGGGGGGTTAAACCGCCACTGGATCCGCTCATTAATACTGTTCTCAGCTATTTTTTGAAAGTCTACTCGAGAAAACGCGTTCTCAGTTCCGACAAAGTTAGTTCCATTATCACTGTATATAGTCTTCGGACGACCACGTCTGGCAATAAAACGTCTTAGAACCTGCATGAAGCAGGCGACTGACAACGAGGTGCAAAGTTCGACATGTACAGCACGATATACGGCACACGTAAAAAGGACATATCCATGCTTTTCCTCCGGTGGCTAGGTAAAGCGGTCCCGCAAAATCTACGCCCGTCGTTTCGAATGCTACCGCGTCCGGACGCGATCTACTGGTAACGGCGGAGCACTTGCCCGAATGGCTTCGCATTATGCCTTTTACAGACGACACACTTAATGATGGCTGATTTTATCGCCCGTCGACCACCTAAAATCCAATATCGTTCGCGCACGATACTCGTGAGTCCTTGAGTTCCAATATGACACGACTTAACATGTTCCCGGAATAACAACCTATTCACTAAAAAATGTTTTGCCGGTAAAACTATAGGAAACCGAAAATACCCTAGGTCATTTCTATTACTAATACGCGACTGTAAACGAATTAGTCCATGCTCATCCTTAAAAGCGTTCATTCCGATAATCTATTGTCTTTTTCGTTCGTAAATGACTCTTGCTGTATCACTTTAAGCACAAATACTTCGGCTTTGTCAACTTCCTCTAAGGTTAACTCCCCGCGCGTTTATCGTCCCTATTCTTTGTATTATGAATAAAACGACAAATCCATGCGAACATTCGCAACGTTTTCAAATATTGAGAGAAGTAATCAAAGTGCCAATCATTCGAGGTCATAATAATTTGCCCCCTATTTATTAGAGCTGTAACTAGTTTTCTTTTCTTCTCCTTATTTATTTCTTCTTCATCACAGTTAATATCTTCTCGAGGCCAAGACGCTGAATCGTGATGAAGCCATTTCGGACCCTCCCACCATTTGGATTCCAACAGTTGCTTAGCGGAGCAACCTCTGGAAGGAAGGTCAGCCGGATTTAATTTACCAGGAACGTGACGCCATTTTTCAGTACTTGAGGATCTGCGAATCTCTGTCACACGATTCCAAACGAATGTAGTCCATTCCTCCGTTCTCTTTATCCAAGATAGTACGGTTGTTGAATCGCTCCAGAAATATTCGTCCAATTCAATATCAAGACTATCCCTAACTGTAGTGTATAATCGAACGGCAATGAGTGCAGCCATCAATTCAAGGCGGGGTATTGATAAAGCCTTTAATGGTGCCACCTT